GGTCACTATGAGTTGGATCCAACTCTACAACAGTGAGTTTGGTTTGGTTTTTAGTTCAGATTGGAAGGCACTCAAAATACGAGTGAGGAAGAGCTGTCTCATCAAAGCAGAGTAGACCTTAATGATGTGGCTGAAGCAAAGCTTTCAAGAACTTCATTTGCTGATTTGTCACAACTCAAAGTGAGAAGAAACAACTGCAAACATTCACTAATAATCTGAATGCAGAATATACAAAACAGGAATCTTGAAAGACTGGAAATCATCAAAAATGAAATGGAATGCATAAAGTTGGATATCCTTGGTATTAGTGAGCTGACATGAACTGGACAATAATATGGTCTACTATTCCAGTGATAACAAATTGAAGAAGAATGGCATTGCATTCATCATCAACAAGATTTCAAGATGTATCCTGAAGTATAATGCTGTAAGTGATAGAATAATATTAGTATGTCTATAAGGAAGACTAATCTGATTGTTATTCAAATTAATGCAGCAACTACTAATGCCCAAGAAGAATATACTAAAGATTTTTAGCAACTTCTGCAGTCAAGATTTGATCAAACTTGCAATCAAGATGCATTGATAATTACTGGTGATTGCAATGTGAAAGTTGGAAACCAAGAAGAAGGATTGGTAGTTGGAAAATATGGGTTTGATAGAAATGACTCTGGAGATTTCATGGTAGAATTTTGCAAAACCAGTGACTTACTCATTGCAAATATTTTTTAAAAATATAAACAATATATAGGATGACTATACACTTGGACCTTGGCAGATGGCATACACAGAAATCAAATTGACAAGATCTGTGGAAGGAAAAAATAGAGAATCTCAATATCATCAGTCAGAACAAGTCCGGAGACTGAGTGTGGAACAGACCATCACTTTCTAATATGCAAATTCAAGTTGAAGCTGAAGAAAATTAACATGTCTATAGGAATCAAAGTATGACCTTGTGCATAGCCTACCCAAATTTAGAGACCATCTCAAGAATAGATTTGGCACATTGGACACTAATGACTGACCAGGCAAGTTGTGGGATAAGATCAAGAACATCATCTATGAAGAAAGCAAATGATCATTAAAAGCAGAAATGAAAGAAAAGACCAGAGTGATGTCAGAGCTGATTCTGAAATTTGCTCTTCAATATAGAATAGCTAAAATGAATGGAAGAAATTATGAAATAAAAGACCTGAACAAATGCCTTCAAAGGATAGCCAGAGAAGACAAAGTAAAATATTATAATGAAATGTTCAAAAGCTTGGAGTTAGAAAACCAAAACTAAAGAACATGCTTGACATTTCTTAAGCTGAAAGAACTGAACAAAAAAATTCAAGCTGATTGAAGGATTTTTAGGACAAAATATTGAACAATACAGCAAGATAAAAGAAGATGGAAGGAATGCACAGAGTTACTATGTTGTTGTTGTTGTTATGTGCCAACGAGTTGGACCCGACTCATAGCAACACCTCCTTGGGTTTCTGAGGCAGTACTACTATGGAAGTAGATTGCCCAACCTTCCTTCTGAGAAGTGGCTGGTGGGTTTGAACCGCCAGCCTTCTGGTTAGCAGTCAAGTGCCTTAGAGTCATTAT